TTGAAATCTTTAATTAAAATAGGATATCGATCATCAATCTAAAAGTTTTAAGTAAAAATTGAATGAATTCTGGAATTAATATTATTCTTTGGTAATATGATCAATTATTAAAAATGTCTATTAAAACATTCTGGTATCTTTTTTTCGATTATTGTCTCATATCTACTTGTTCAATATAGTCTTATTAAAAATAATGAGTTATATTTATAGAATTCTAGATTTGATTTCTATTGTTAAATCCAATTGGATAGTCATATATGGATTCTATTTTTTATTGATATATATTTAGAATTGTATTTTACTTTTTATGTTGCTTTTTATGATTATTTTGCTTTATCCATATCTTTAGATTAATATATTAATTAAATAAAATGTCTAGAGCAATTCGTAGATATGTGAATGCCAAAGAAGAAATGGAATACGAGCGTGGATATACAGCTGAAGAGATGCAAGCTGCTAAATTGAGAAAGGCATTTGTTTAGAAATTTATTGCTGACTTTGACACTAATTTTTACAAAACATAAGAGGAAAGAGATTGGGGATATGTTGTTAGAAGAGAGTAATAATTTACACTTATTAACTTAGGTATCGTTATGATGTGACTTATTCCTCTATTGTTGATGGTTGGGCATGTGCTGCAGCTGTTTCTATGGTCAGAATGTTTTAGACAAAGAGATTTTCATGGGCTCCTTATTTTGTTGTTTGGCCAATTGCTTATCTTTACTTTCAACCAATTAAATTTTTGAAACACAATAAAAAATACTTTGATATGTGCAATTTGGGTGAAACATATTATCTTGGAAGAGAAAGAAATAAGGTTCTGGCTGAATGTAACAGAATATTAGATAGAGAGGATTTCTGATCCTTATAATAAAATAATAATAATAATAACAAAATATTTATACAACAAAGTCTTATCTACTTTACTCTTCCTAAGATTAAAGTTTGAATCAAAATTATTAAGACTTTAATTTATATTTTTAATATACTAAATTACATGAATACCATCCAATTCCTTATTATTTTTATTAATAAGTTCACTGGATTGATTAGAACATGATTGTCTATATCAGAAAAGTAAATCTAAATTGATACCTTTATATTTTTTTATTTATTTTTTGTACTCCTAACTCTTAAAATAGTAATGTTTTTTATACAAAAAAGAAGCACAAACTATCAATGTTTATTATTCTATGCAAATTGTTTTAATCAATATAAAAAATATATAGTATTTATTTGATTAGAATTAATGCTTACAAAAATAAAGTCTTAATGATATTAAATTTACTGCTTTTGATATTGGATAAAGTGATTAATATTCGTATGTTTATACTGATATCTAACATCATTAAAAAATGGAATTTAACAATTTCAACTACTCATTTATTAATAATAGTAGGAAATGTCTTTTTGAAGGGAACAGTTTTAAAATATTACATTTCAATTGTAATTCACTTATAAAAAAGGAACCTAAGGTGTTTGGATCTGAGAAGTAAAAAATAAATTTTGTAGAAATGAAACAGAATATGAAAACTATGTACTTTTTTGAAATTAATATTTTTCCTCTATTTTCTTCATTAAATAATTAATTTAAAAGTTTAATGTCTTTAGTTAACATAACCAATATAGTCATAGATGATAAGCCCTAACCATTCTAAAGTCCTATTATAATTGACATCTACTTTGATGTCTTGGTTGACATTGAAGATGAAATCGAATGGATGTACATTATTATTTTAATTGTAGGCTTCTTTTTATAGGTTCACCTAAAGATGAGTCACATGATTAAATACTTGATTAGTTCTCAATGGGACCTCTTTAAGTGGGAGCTAAACATTTTACTTTAGAATGTAATCCTCCTGATTGGAAAAAAATTCCCCAAAACGAATTACTGGGTATTACAGCCTTCATTCTCACTTGTTCCTACAGAGAAAAGGAATTCTTTAGAGCAGGTTACTATGTTTACACTACCTACACCTCTTAAGAGAATATAGAGAACGATCCCCCTGAAATTATTATAGAAGATATTTCACGTTAAATCTTCAATAATAAACCCCGTATAACTCGATTTGAAATCGATTGGAAAGGGACCAATTAAAATTAAAGTACTCCTGAACATGTTGATAATAAATAATTTATGTTTTAAGAATAGTAAGAAAAATAGTCAGCAGATGTGACTGAAGTCGATGATCCATAACTTATCTAGAATGTATTCGACTCTTGAAAAATATATATATATAACTAATTAAGTTAAAATTTTAATAATAATTAATTAAAATATATTAATTTAGTAAAAATTATATATTATAAGATAATACATTTTTATAAGATATTCATTAAATTCATATAAAAATTGTATTTCATAAATTGTTACATATGATTATGTTAATAAAGATGTTCAAATATATAATTTATTTATATATTAAAAAAAATGTGGATTGAATTATTTTTATTAGATAATAGATTAAGTATTATACTTAAATACATAATTTATAATTGAATAAGATTGTTTAATAAGAGGTTGTGTATAAATTTGTAGATTGAGTTTATTTTTAAAATTTATAATAAAAATTTAACAGTAATATTAATTAAATGATTGCATATCGAAATGGAATTTATTAGGGGACCTTGCAAAATGGTATTAAAGAAGGAATAGGAATCTTTTGGTGGCCTACTGGATCTATTTATATTGGTGAATGGTACAAGGATATGATTCATGGTGAAGGGATTATAATGATCAATGACAATATTATAAGAGCATAATTCAAAAATAATAAATTTCATGGTTTATGTGTTAATTATACGTATATTAATTAATTCTATAGTTCTAGTTAAAGTGAATTTTATAGATTTGAGTATGGATAATTAAATGGAAAATGTTTGAAGGGATAAACAGTTTCTTAATATAGGAGAGGAGATTTAATTAAAATAGATACTAATTTAGAATCTGTTGATGTTTTATTAGGTATATTTTAATATTGAAGTTTAGATGAATTTTAAAATAGGTTATTGGATTTAGAAGAGATTTTAGATAGGAATTAATGTACTTCTATTGGAATAACAGAAACATATCTTGGTAGAATGAAAAGAGGAAAATAATTAGGATTAGGTATAGAGAATATGTTTACAACTGAAAAAAGGATAGGGATATTTCATGATTAAAATATATCAAATATCGGTTAGATTTGGATGAATGGTGATATTTATACTGGGGGTTTTAAAGATAATAAATATGATGGTTTAGGTTGTTTTTTCATTAGTGTAAATTTGTTAAATATTTAATAGGGTGAAATGAAGATGATTCAAGGAATATTTCAAAATGGAAAGTGTATTGAAATAAAAAAGAAATAACATGGAGATATTGAAATATATAAAATATTGGCTGAATAAACATTTTAAGCACTTTAATAAAATACAATACAATAAAGAGTTCCTATACCATATTTGTAATAGTGTTAATTTGAAATCTTAAACACTTGGACATAAAATAGTATTTCTTAGATACCTTAATCAATTCAAGAGAAGGATGATAAGGATTAAACATTTTTGGAAGTAGAATTTGATATCCAGAAAGAAATTGAGAAAATTTAAAAGTAATCAAATTATTATATATATATAAGTGATTAATAAAATATTGAAGCTAAAAAATTATTGTATGATGTTGTAAATAAATATTAGGAAAATGAAAATAAATTATTTCCATTACAAATTGATTAACTTTAAACATTTAGAAATAATCCTTCTGTTTTAGAAATAGAAAACATATAAGAAGAAAATCAGAAAAGTAAATTTGTATCTTCACATTCTTAATAAACAGAATATTTTCATGTAAATGATTCTAAACAAAATTCTGGTCATAGTTGCAAGAGAATACCATTATAAACAATTAAGAATTAAATTAATTAAAATTAAGAAACTAAATAATCAATAAGAGTAACTACAATAAGTGCTAGATCAGAACCATATTCTTAAGTATTAAGTTCTAGAAAATCCTTATATAACTAATGATATAACTAAACCTATTAATATTATATTATATTATTTTATATATATATTCTAAATTATCTATATTTTCCATTTAGAGGAATGATATATTCTTTAAATTATTTTACATTAAATTTATGATTGAATCAATCTCTTATAATTAATTATATGAATAATTAAAAATATATTGAGATATAAATAAGAAATATATAATTCATTATTATAATATAATACATTAAAGAATGTACAACCAAAATTAATATAAAAAAGTTTATCAAATATTTCTCACCTTTTGTTCAGTGATTTTAGTTCCTTTTATGGCAGCTTCATAATAAGATCTTTCAACTTCAAAATATATTTAGAAACCATCTACTCTTTCATTTCCAAGTAAGTATTATACCCATTTCTTTTATCCAAAAAAGATTTAACCTAGTTATCTACCAATACCTGAGTGTTGGAATAATTCATTAAAATCTTTAAAACTGTCATGATACCTAGGATTAGACTTACGTTTTGAAATGAATTTTTAAACAACTGGACATCGAATGGATTCAACCTCAGCCACAATCCAATTTCTGAAGTGTCGACCAAAGGTATAGGGAACATTCTTGTAACGGCCTTGTCTTTTCTTTTTAATTGAGGGGCTTTTTAAATCTATTATATTTGGATCGGTGTCAGCCTCAGCTTAACACCAGTTATTGGTTAGCTAAAATTCAACTTAATCACACTCACTGTGTTATTATAGCTGCTCCTCCTCACTAAAACTATCTCGTCTAAGTAATGGACACATTGCCTTCATTTTAATTATTTAAATTAATATATGCACAAAATCTTAGTTCATAAATGATTTTATATGGCTATAAGAAATATTTATAATCATATAAAATATAAGTTTAATTTTTACAAATAATATAATTGAATGATAATACATAATCAAAAATATTTATGTGAACATGATAAGAGCAATTAATTAAACAGTTATAAAATATTAATATATTATTATTATTATATTTTTTATGTTTGAACAATAATATTTGGAATAGCGAAAATCTAAACAAGAACAAGTAGTAAATACAAAATCTAGACATTTAATTGTTATGAATTAATTAAAGAAGAAAGTATTCATTATTTGATGATTCAATTTAGGAAGAAAATTGGAATAATAGATTTTATGTTTAAAATTAAAATAAAAATGAATCTGTAGAAAAATAGAAACCAAAGTAGATCCATAATACATCTAAATTAATTGAAGTTTAAGATTATTACAATATACCTGAATTTCATAGGTAATATAAATATACATATTATTTAGATAGTTATTTTTGATGTGTCTGTAAACACTACCAAAAAATAATTAAGCAATTCAATTTGAAATAGAAGAAATGTAATAAAAGAAATCACATATATAAGTAATTATATAAAAAATAAATAAGCTTTGTATGTAAGCTGTTGATGCTAGAGAAAAGTGTTTAACTTTCTTGATTAATCATATTCAATAAATATAGGATAATCCTGGAGATGAACAACTATTGTAAAAAAGTGCAGAATTAATAACACATATAAGAATACTCTCTATAAATGTTGTAGAATAAATACTAGGTTGGAGATAATACTTAATGAAATTTTTAGTCAATATACATTCTCATGAAAGTATTTCACTTCCTTATTTATATCTAAGAGAAAACTATTTGATTAAAGTATTAATATAATATTAATAATTTTTAGATGAGAAAGGACATTTAATATATAACAAATTCAATACTATCAAATTATTATCAATTTTCAATTAAACCTGATCCTTTTTTTGTTGCTATAACAAAACCAGCTGATGATCCTAATAAAATAGTTTAATTCATTTCTAAACCTCTTTTAAAGAGAATAAAAAATTGTGAAATAATAATATAAGATGAAGCTTTATCAATTTGCAAAGATGATAAATCAATTCATAATTAAGCAAATTCAAAAGATTAAATTAAAATGAGTCCAGAAAAATCAATTCATCCAGGACGTATAAGACCTCCTAAGAGATAAGAATAAAGTTAAAATCAAAAAGTAATTAATTTAATAATTATAGAGAATAATATATAAATAACCAGATGATGTAAATAATTAACAATAAAATTTAATTCCAAAAAATATTCCATTAAGATAATTTAATAAATAAGGTAGTGCTACATCTTAAAAATAAAATTCAATTAAAGTAACACCAAATGAATCAAATAATAAATAATAAGCATAATAGAGTCCTCCTCAATCTGATAAAAAACAATCAAATTCAATTCTTGCAGCTGTACCTACAATTGATTAATAAAATTTAATTACAGAAGAAGATAATACATTTAAAATAAAGAAATGTCAACTAAGTGATTAAAATGTTATTGATCATTTAAATAATATTAATGAAGATTTCAAAAAATCATGGAGAGGTGAAATATAATTAATGCAAAATTAATATGATTAATAAGATGATAGTTTTTGTTTAGGAATATATTAAAAAGATTAGTTTTTAGCTTTAGGATAATGTTATTTAGATTAATCTCTTTAAGAGAGAAGATTAATATTAAGTCATTTTTCTACAGCTGATCCATCATAATTTTAAGAATTACTAAAATTTATTATTAAATTTATATGGGAAATTGATCCTTGTTTAGAAATAAGAATGTCTTTGTATCATTATAATTAGAATGATTCATTTTAAGCTAATAAGGAAATTACAACAAAATTAAAAGAATTAGGATTTAAATGGAAAGTTGTACAAAGTGTTAATTCAGAAACTAGATTTACAGTAATGGGTAAAATATGAAGATATCATAGCCATTAGAAGACCTTCTGACATAGATCAACTTAAATAATTTGATCCAATATTTTTATAACATCTTTATCTTACTTGTGATAAAAATACAATATAAAACACGGATGCTTTTACTTCATTGTATTGTTTGACAACTCTTAATACTAAAATAGATTTAGATGATGAAATTATTAATTAACACAAAGATAATCTAATTAATTCAGTATAATAATAATAATAATAATATAATAGGAATTTGGATTTAAGGGAATTAAATTATAAGAACATACAAGTGATGAATTTCATGCCTACATTAATTAATATTTTGAGAATTTTGATTAACTTAATCCATCAAATTCTGAAGTTTCTCTTTCATCAGATAAAGTTATAAGTAGTTTTTGCAAAGAATGTTATAGATGGGCAAATTGTAAATTAGCTCAACATTAAAGACTTATTTATAATGGATTTTAAACTCCTACCAAAGTTGATAATGCAAAAGTTTTTATGTCTGATTCAGGAAACATAAAAGTTTATTTAATATCTACAGATTAAAGTAGTACAAGTATTTTTGTATTTGAATGTAAATTATTAAATATAATATAGATGATGATGAAATTACATTATAAAAAGTTTAATCCATTCTAAATTAATGTGGATTATAAGTTCCAATTGATTAAAATCTTTATATTCCATAATTCATTGTTAATAGTAAGGTTAAGTATTCAGAAAATGTAATTGGATTAGGAAGGTTTAGTACTGCTTATAGACCAAAGATGGTTGACATTTAAAATGCTTAAGGTTACATAATTAAACCTCCATTTGTTTTTGGTATTATATAATAAATAATATTTTATAGGAATCATAAATGAAGATTTTAATGAGATTACAGGAATGCCAAATTTGTTTTTTAAAGTTTAGGATACTCATTGTATCTAACTATGATCAATAATTTTTATATTTTTTTTATAAAATCTTTGACATCTAGATATTTATGAATTCATAATCAAATCAAAAAATATTAACAATATGAAAATGAAACTATATAATTTAATGACTAGAAATTAAGATAAAGAACTTGAATTTTATATTCATTTTAATATTTTGTAATCCAATAATTCTTAATAAAATGTATTACTTTTGAAAATAATGGAAATTACTAAAAATAAAATGTAATTAATTATATATATCATTAATTAAAATTTGAGCCATTCTCTATATTTTTATAGAAAAAAATTGTAAATTTGATAAAACTCTAAGTATTTATTAAAAGTATTTTAATCTTAGAAATAAATTCATTTTATTAAATTCGATATAAACAATATATAATTATAAATTTTAGGCATTAATTTATAATATTAATTTATTAATTATATAATTAATTACATATTAAAATAGATTAAATGTATTAGGAAAGAAAGGATACTTATATTAAATATAATTTTAAAGGTTTTTAATTGAATAATCTTTTGTAATAATCATCATTTAATAAATTATAATAGTTTTCTTTAATTTAACTTCAAATTAACCAACTATTGCATATATTCAAGAGTAACAAAAAATATCTAATTGTGCTTCACAAGACAAAATTGTAGTGACATAGCATCAAATAAATTAAGATCTAGAATAGAAAGTGTTTCATATTCTACTATAGTCTTTTCTATTATACTGGATTATTGAGGTAAAATCCGCATAGAATTTTTATCATATTTAGGTAATTAATCAATTGCAAATTAAACTCTTTAGAAAAGATTATCAATATTGTTATATTCAGATTATAATTTGATAAATCTTGAAATTAGATCTGTTTGACTTCTTTTTGGTTATATAATCTTTTATATTTTCTTCCAATCGAAGTTTAATTAAATAGCTTTTTAGAGTAATAAGATGTCATCCTAAATAGTGAATGGACTTTTTTATAAACTAGGATCTATAATGTTGTTCCATCTATGTTTACAATTTATTTTATTCTTATCAAGCCTCAAAGCTATTTCTAACCAATTTAGCTATTAATTTCGAAATTAAATCAACTTATTGTCTTATTCATTGGTCCAATTATCTTGCAGACTTATCCAATAAGCTTTAACTTCTTAAAGAGGTTTATTTAAGACTTATGAAATTTCAAGCCAGAATTGATGATTGACTCCAAGTTTACAGATAGTTTTAATCAGCCAGTCTTATTAAGATTTAGTAAATGAATCAGTATCAGAGTTAGCAATGAGTTAATCATTTTCATTTTCATGGAATATTTGAACATTATATAGAGTAAGCATTTATTGTAGATTCTGACTTAATTGTGTAAAATTGAGTGACAAAGATTCAAGAAATTCTTTAAATTAAGTTTAAGACATGGTTGATATTTTGACTAGTTTTTATGGTGCTTTCTGTAATAGATAAGGTGACTTTCTCTTAATAAATTATAGTTCATTTGATTAGCGAATATTATTCATAAAGAATGTTATAAATTGTGTTTTTAATAGATATTATGCTTTTTCAATATTCTCAATTTTATTATTATTTTTATTAGATCATCTATTCTTCATTATTCAAAAATGAAGGTTAACCAGTGCTGGCTAACAATCTTTGCCATTCTCGACTGTCAGCAACAACTCTATTGGAATATTTTCCTGATAGTAACTCTTCAATGGGAATATAAGCTAATCTATTATTAACATGACCAACAGTAAATCCTGAAAAACCAGCCATAGCACCATGAACAGCATTTTGAGCTAATTAAGTGCACATTATTTTATCATGAGGATTAGCAGGAACTGTTCTGATCATATATGTAGGATCAATGTGTTTAAGAGTGATACCCATTCCTTTGTTTTTACAATATTTTGTAAGTTCATCCTTAACAATGACTCCAACATCCTAAGGTTTTTTGTTACCTGAAGCATCAGTTTCCAAAACATTGACTTTATAATCTAACATAGCATCACCAGCTCCTTCAGCAATCACAAGAACTAAAGTGCCCTTCTTCTTAAGTCTTTAATAACAGTATTCCAAAAGACCTCTATCTCCATATAATTCAAATTTGAATTCTGGTATCAAACATACATTTGCATCTCTTGAGGCATTACAAGCAGACATAGCAATGAATCCAGCATTTCTACCCATTAGTCTAACTAATCCCACACCAAATTCTGCACAATTAGCTTCAACATATGCTGATTTAATAGCATTGATTGCTTCCTAAATTATATATATATAATTGTATTTACTTCAACAGCTGTTTCAAAACCAAAAGATTCATCAATAATAGCAATATCATTATCTATAGTTTTAGGAATACCAACAATTGATATCTTAAGTTTTCTCTTTCTTAATTCTTTAAACAATTCTAAGACTCCTCCATGAGTTCCATCTCCACCTAAACAAAATACTTAATTAATTCCATGATTAACTATAGCCTCTACAATTTTATTTAAATCAAATCCTCCTCTTGATGAACCTAATATAGTTCCTCCCAAATTATGTATATTTTTAACATAATTTGCATCAAACTTTATCCAATCATAAGTATAAAATCCTTTATATCCATACTTTATTCCATAAATATCTTAAACTCCATAATTGTAATGCAATGACATAAATAATTCTCTTATTACCACATTCAATCCTGGACATAATCCTCCACATGTTACTATTGCAGCCTACATATTAGACTATTTATACCTTCACTGTTTTTGGATCAAAGAATAATGATTTACGTGGTCCTGCTCTCAACCATTTCTTTGTCTAATCTATTCTTTTACCAGGACCAAATACAGCAGTATTAATTACATATGATCCACAATAAATAAAGGCATCATCTGGTAAAAATCCACCTCCTCCAAAGACCGATCTCAAATTGCCTTCACCTAACAAAGGTGATTTAATATTTGGAAATTCATCATCTAATCCTAATGAAAGATGATTCACTCTCTCTATATCACATGTAGCACTATTTAAGAATTTAATTTCATCAAGTAATGGATTTTCAGAGTTTAAGAGTGCCTCTGGAACTGGAGCCTGTTTTGAGTTGACTATATTAATATCTTATAATACCAAATGATCTCTTTCTAAGTTATAGACTTCTTATAGGTTTTGGATCATCTTCTATCTACTTCTTATTTAATCGATTTATTAGAAAATCTGTAATCAATCCAGATGCCAATGTAATTCCAGCATAAAAGAGAGTGGAATCTAAATGTATTATATTATCTTATATTTACTTGATTCACTCATTTAGATAATTTTAATTAAATAAATAATAAATCATAATGACAATCATATATTATTCATTCTTAAATTTAGAGAAGAATAATTCAAGAGCATCTATATGAATATCTTTTTCATTTATTTTTAATTATTTATATTTTAAAAAACCTTTTCTCATTTTTATTCAAATCCTTTTGATTGTCTTACAAAACATATATATCCAATACATATATCTAATATTACTATTTTCATAATTAATTAAATAAAATAGTTGTTTAATTTTAGTATTTTAATTAACATGTAAAAATAAAGACTCAAGTAATTACAACTTGATTAACCTACTCCTATTAAGCAAAGTTCAGCATATCGTAAATTTTATGATGAGCAATTTGTTATTCTATAATAACAATACCCTAAAAGAACAACAGAAGAACTTATTAAATTGATTAAGTTAAAATGGAAAGCCAAAGAAAGAATGAATACACATAAGTATTTCTAAAAAAATGGGTTTGTGAACATAAATGATACTGAAAGAGTCCCTGTACCTTAACCTCCTCCTCCTGTTATGACAATGTTTAATAATTTATAATGTCTCCAAGCTTCCAAAAACAAATGAGGTAGCATCTTGAGATGACCCATCCCGAGTACAATGGAACATAGATAGATCGAACTATTAAATTCGAATGGGGTTCAAATTCGGCCTTGAAAGAGAAAGCTGCCAATGAATATAAAAAGTTGAGACAAGTTAATTAGTATAAAATATGTATAGGAATTTGAAAACCAAAAGAAAGAATTCATAATTAAATATGGTTTCTGGCCATAGCATAAAAAGCATTAAGGTGAGTAAGTTAAATAGATCCAAAATACCAGTTATCAACCAAATCCATTGGTTTAATTGCTAAACAAAAAAGTCAAATATGAATGAAATTAATCAAAATGAGTTAAAAATAATACAACAAACTACTTACAATCTCAGAACATAAGGATTTTTAACAATTTCTATTCCCTAATATAAGATACTTAATTTTTAAAATTAAATCTTTTCTTTTCACTAAAAAGAGCGCGAACTTCAAACAAATAAGTATATATCTTAATCATACATTCTTATAACAGAGATGACGCTATTTTTGTGTATTAACTCTTTTCATATTTTCAAATAACTCTCTATCTATTCTCCTGTTCAATCAGTATTATTAAACTTAAGATTTAGTATATATTAATCAATTAAATTTGAATAATAAAAAGATATCTAAATTAGTCTAAAAATTTCTATTCATTTATCAAACTTTAAAATAATAATAAAGAATAATAGATATAAAAGACAATTAAATTTTGATATCTGTAAAATAAATATTTTATTAACATATATCTATTTCAAGTAAAAGTAGATTAATAAAATAATTTTTATTTATTGAAATTCTATTCAACCTATAAACTCTCAAAATTTATTCATCTTAAAATTTATTTTCTAACTTTTTTTGAATTATAAATTTATTCAAATTATTAAATGTCTAGTTTTGCTTCAAGAACAAGCTAAAAAGTTAATGTTAAATTTATTTCTAGATAAAAGAATGGTGGGGAGCCAAAGTAACTGTAGATCCCTAATTGGAAGCAAAGAAATAAAAGATTAATGAAATAGATTAATATATTAAAGGATTAAATTAAGCCTTTAGCAATGTTAGTGCCTTATTTTAATGTAGATATTTAAAAAATCATATAGAAATGCATGGACATATGGGAAAGATTAGTGCTATATCATCAAAACTTTTTGAAAGAGAAACAGACACAAACAAAAGAATTGGAATTGAAGTAGCATCTATGTTTGGGAATTTATCAGAATTATTTAGATCAAAAGTATCTTAATAAGTATAAGTTAGAATGAACCAGTTTAAGAAATAAATAAAAATTTCTTGGATTGGTTTCAAATGATTGAAACTTTGAAAGTACAATTAGCCAATTTCTAAGAAATTCGTTTAGTTTATGATCATTACAAAATGAAAGTAGAAGAATTAGAAAAAGATAAATCAAATGCTTTATAGAAAGGACAACCTGAAGATTTCAAATTATCTGATAAAATTCGAAGAGTAATTAAATTAGATAATACTGTTAGAATTAAAGTAAGCTTTCCAGTTCTGAAACCAATTATAAATAAAAACTTTCAGAGATATTAAATAATATGAATAAATTATTGGGAAACTATTTTAAAATAATAAATTCAAGTCTCGATACAGTATATAATAATAATTATTTAGTTTATTAATATTAATTATGATTTATATATGAATGCTAAATCTATTGTGAAAAAGAATTTAAAAGCTTTTAATAAATTTAAATATCCAGAATAAGAGCCTATTATTGATTTATTAAAAGATTAAAAAGAAATGGCAACATTATTAGAAAGAGAATTTCTAAAAGAAAAAGAATTAAAAGAATTAAAAGAAAAAGAATTAGAAAAAGAAAAAGAAAAAGAAAAAGAGAAATTAAATTAATAATAATCATAATCATAATTTGCACCTCCATAATAAACTCCTTAATGGGATTTAAATAATAAATTTAATCCTTTTGGATAAAGTTAACAAATTAACTCTAATGGATATTAAAATAATTCTATAATTCCATAATAAATTAATACATAAATGAATAACTTTTAAAGTAATTTTGTTAACTAGTAATAATAATAATTTGTTAGTCCAATGACACCAACACAAAGATAATCTATTAACAATAATATATATAATTAGTAAAATTTCTAATAACCGTTTGATGATGTTGGATTTTAAATGATGACTGATTTAAGATAAAGTCAAATGTAGAATAGATAATAACAACAATAGTATGCACAAAGTGTAATTATAAGTCCTACAAACTTTGGTAATAATAATAATCCTTTTGCTAATTAACAATATCTAAATCAAAGACCTAGTTTATAATAGCCATAATCATAATTAATATAATAATTTGATACTCCATTAAATAGAATACAGCCACCAGGATCATAAAACCCATTTTTTGATATTGATAATGATCTTTCTAAAAGGGCAATTTAGGATAATCCCTACACATATAATCAATAATGGTAGGATAATTAGAAAACTAATCCCTTTTCTTGATTTATTATAATATTTCAAAAAATATATTTTTGTATCACATTTTTTTTAATAAAAATTATTATATTGTTTTAGAACATAAATATTAAATATTAGAGTCAATTTGACTAGTTATTAAAATAAATAAAGTTGAATCATTATAATAATTTATTTTATTGATTGACTGATTTAATTAAATAAAAAATAAATATAATTAAATAGTTTATTTAATGAAGAATTATATGCAGAATTGAATAATATCAATTAATAATAACTCAATTCTTCTTAATTAATTTTCTAGTTTGATATTGATGATTAGGTACTGCATTTTCATCATTGTATTTAATAGAACCTTCTGAACTAATGATAATTATTAATAAAGTACCCATTTATTTTTTTGAGGGTCCTTCTGATTTTTTTGAGTCTTCAAAATCTAGTTTTCTATAATTAGTTTTACATATTTCTGCTTCCTAATATTTTATTAAGTAAATACTTCTATTCTATTGATCTTGGATATTAAATCTCCTTTTTCTGAAAGTAATTCTTTTAGTTATTAAGTCAAGACTACATTAGCAATGTATAGTCTCATATATTCATGTTAATAATTGATTCCTCTTTTTTATTCAAATGAAGCTACAATATCCTCATCAACTTATTCTCCCATAGTTGGAGTGTAGAGAAGTCCCTTTCTAATGGAGTCACTAAAAAATGGTTGGAAAAGGCATACCAATTATCAAGCATTTGAATTCAAATTTATTATTATTTATGTAATGCAAATTTCTAAATGTTAATTTTTTAATGTAATTTTATTAATAAAGTTATAAAACCGTATAAAAATATTTAAAAAGTAAGTTTAGGAATTAAGATAGAGAATCATATTCATAATATGTTGTAGATTTTATATGAATATTTTACATATAAATAATGAAAATATTTTACTTTAAAAATATCTATGTATTTACTTTGATTATATTAATTGAATTCTTTAATAAAGAGTTTCATTACTTTAATTTTAAATAGTCTACATTATTACAGAAATAATGAATAAATACTTACAAAAAATTTTATAAATTTTCTGATCTCTTATTCAATTAGACTTATATTATAAAAGTATAATATACACTTAAACTTTAAAATGGTAAACAAAGCAAATTTTTGTAATATCAATTAATGCTGATTAAGTTTGTGAGTATCAAGTTATTGAAGATGAGAAATAAATTATTATTAAATAATGAATATATATTCACGATTTTTGAGTAGATATTACTTTGGCACAGTGAAGATCTTTAAGTTACCTGATTTGGGTGAAAGTAAATGTTATAATGAATTTAGAAATCAAGGAAGCCACAATAAAAAAATGGCATGTTAAGATAGGAGATCGAGTAAATGAAGTACGTCATTTTTTTGATAATAGTTCGATCCTGTTGCGGATGTTTCTACAGATAAGATGTTCACGCAAATTCCAAGTAATTACACAGGGAAGATTCATAAATTGTTTCACTAAGAAGAAGAAACTTGTTTAGTGGGTGGAGATTTCTTAGAAATAGAGGTAGAATCTGATACTCAAGAATCAGCATCTTCATAGACACAACATCATTAAGTGAAATAAAAAGACACAATACAATAAGAAATACATTAAACTATTCAAACTAATAATACTCCTTCAGTATAATTAGATTAATTATCTATAGAATCATAAATTAGCAACACCAGCAGTTCGTCATTTGGCAAAACAAAAAGGAATAGACTTGAATAAGATTTAAGGTAGTGGCTAAGATGGAAGAATATTAAAGACAGATCTTGAAAAATAATCAGTATAATCACCAAAAGAACAACCATAATCATCCACTAAAATTAATATCAAAAGTGAATCCACATCCACTGTTATCAAAATGTCAGATTTTTAAAAGGGAATGCAAAAATCAATGACTGAGGCTAATTCTATTCCTCATTTATATTTAAAAGAAGAAGTTGATCTAACAGAACTTGCAGAAATGAGAGAATAGTTGAAAAAAGAAAAGAATATTACATTCATGACTTTACTTATTAAATCCTTTTCATTGGCTTTGACAAAATATCCTATATTAAATTCAACATATGATACAACAAAATAATTTGAATATACATAACATTCATCACATAATGTTTCTGTGGCTTTAGACTCTCCTAAAGGTTTAGTTGTCCCTAATATTAAAAATGTATAGAATCTATCAATTAGTTAAATCTAAGATGAATTGAATAGGTAATTTAAATTCTTAATATAATATAGATTAAGAACTTTAGGAGAAAAAGGATAATTAAGTTTTAATGAATTATCTGGAGGCACAATATGTTTGAGTAATATTGGAACAATAGGTGGTACATATACTGGTCCACTTATTCTTGCTCCATAAGTTTGTATTGTTGGTATTGGTAGATTGATGACTGTGCCAAGATATGATGCTAAGATGAATATTGTTCCAAGAAAAATTGTAATTATTTAATTTTTATATTTAGATGAACCTTAGTTTCGGTTGTGATCATAGGGTTATTGATGGAGCAACTGTAGCAAGATTTAATAATGTTTGGAAAACATATTTAGAAAATCCAACATCCATGTTTATTCATCTTAAATGATTATTATATTAAGAGTAAAGAAATAAAATTTATAATAATTAAAATTATTAAATTTTAGAATTCTAATCAAATGAATTTTTACTAATTGAATATATATTAATCAAATTCTAATTATACTCCTAAAATATATTATTATTGATATTATAAATTTTCATGTTTTACTATCTAAAATAATTAAAGAATTTATTTCATTGATATTTAGTAGTTATGATTTTATTCTTAATTATTAAGTATTATAATAGATTTCTTATCATCTTAGATCTAAAATACTTTGATTATTATTTGATTTGTATAATAGAAACAGATTTAATGATAGAATCAAAAACTATATTTTATGTTTAAAATATAAAAATCAATATAAATTATTTGAAGATTGATAATAATAGTAGAATTAATGAGTAATTATTTAAATTATATTGCAATTGAATTTAATGAAGATTGAATAAATCTCATTTTTCTTTCTTCTCTTTCAATAAGATTTTTAGAACTCTAATAAAAATTTTGATTATATCTGTGTATATCATAATTGATCCCAAAATGTAATCATCTACAGTTAATCTTAGTTGTTTGTCTCCAATGATTAATTAGATATCATATACCTTTATTAATTATTAATTTATACCAAGTAGAATCCTAACATTATTGCACCTCCAATCAAATAAATTTAATATGCAAAAGAGCTTCTGAAGATGAAATATGTGATTCCAGCTATACAGCAACCAAATGAAAATAGAAAAACTATAATTTGTTATTGAATATATATTTACTAGCTGCTCCATGATATGAGAGATCATTTTTAGTTGTCATAGCATACGTGGCTAAAGCAACAACAATACCTGTTGTAATTAAGAATGCTTAGAAAATTAGTTCTGGATCACTGATTTAAGCGCATGTAATGGCTAATGCAATTGCTTCACCTAAGGTAAAGATGCTAAGTAAAATATAATTTAATGGAAATTTTCTTGCTGAAGCTTGATAGAAATTCATAAAAATTTAAATTTACATTTGCTTAAGTATAACCATATTCCTGTTACAATAGTAGCAATAACAGCAGGTATATAAAGAATTTCACATAATGTCTCGATAAACTTAAAACTCATTGCCCCATATGCTACTAATGATGTAGCCATAAGTTAAAAGCCTACAATAGAGAAGACTTTTTTGGCAAAATTCTTTTAGGCATCTCCAAGTAATGATGAATCAACTTAAGCTTTTTCATATCGGTATTATTCACTTTAAGGAACAGATTGATATTCCATTTCTATAAAAAAATAATGATTTTAAGCATTTAGAAAAGATGATTATGTTATGATAAATATTTTCGAAAAATTAAATACCCCCTTAATATATGAAATATTTAAATCCACATTTTTTTATAAATTAATGGAAGGCGGAGCTTAACCAACTACAAATGAAGCAAAAGAAGGACATGAATTACATGTTCAAACCTTAGAAAATAAGATTAGAGAACTTCCTCTAAAGGATAGACTCAAAGCTATTGCCATCTAACATCATTATCTATAAAAAGAGAAATTAGACAAGGAATGTGATGAGAAGATTCATGCTGTTTAAAAACAATATGATATTAAATCATTACCAATCTATGCAGAATAACAATCTCTCATAAATGGTTAAAGAGCTGTAAGTGCAGAGGAACAAGAACTTTTTAAGGATTTCTTTTCTGAAGCTGAATTATAAGAAGCTCTTTAAATTGCCTAAAAAACAGAACCAATTGAAAATTATTGGGGAACTGTCTTAACAAATTGCGATAATTTATCTCATGTTTTTGGAGAAAAGGATAAAGACATCCTTAAATACTTAACTTCAATTGTTTTGGAAACCTCAGCTGATACTGAAGTCTTCACTCTTAGATTTACATTTAAAGATAATGAATATTTCAAGAATAAAGAATTGACAAAGAAATTTATTATTGAAGAAGGCAAAGATTTCCCTACAAGTACAGTTGGAACTGTAATAGAATGGAATGAAGGCAAAGATGTTACAGTTAAAATAGTAGAGAAAGTAAATGATTTATTAATATTTAAGAAATAAAAAAATAAGAAGACAGGAGCATCTAGAGTAATCAAAAAGAAAGAAACATAATTAAGTTTCTTTAATTTCTTCAAGAATTCAGAAGATAAGGATGAAGGAGATGAAGAAGGAAAAGCTGGAGTATTAAATATTTATGATAATTTATAGAATATTGATGAAGATTATGAAATTGGAAAGACAATAGCAGAAGAAGTCATACCTTATAGTTTAGAATATTTCTTAGGAATTAATCCAGATGATGAAGATTATGAAGATGTTGATGAAGATGAAGATGATGAGGATGATGAAGATGAAGAAGATGATGATGATGAAGGTGATGATAAAAAGAAAAAGAGTGTAAGTTTTATTATATAAATTTTATTAGTAAAGAAAGAAGAGTGGTGACAGTAAAAAGTCTGATAAAGATAAAAAAGGAAAAGCTGAAAAACCAGAATGCAAATAATAATGAGAGTATTGGTTTGTGTACAAAAATTATAATTTATATTTTAATTTTATATATTTCTTAAAGAAGACATAATCTAATTTTATTCTAACCATTCCTATATATATGAATTCTTTAAATTAAATTTAAATAATAATGTTCTTAATTTGTTAAATAACTTTTTAATATTATATTTTATCAATATCAAATGTTCTCAACTTCTACCAATTACTTTTCTTTCATTGAAGGAAAACCACCCTCTTATGTAATTACAAGATTCTTATAACCATTTTTAACGAGAAGACTCATTGCAATCTTTGCTCTTCCTCCTGTTTTACAATAAACATGAACAATCTTATCTTTAGGAATCTTAGCAAGATTAGCTTCTACTTCAGGCAATGGAACTCTAATAGCTCCTTTGATAACTCCTGTCTCTTTATGTTCTCCTGGTCCTCTAACATCTAAAAATGCATGTTTTTCTATTTATAAATAAAATTATAATACCTGGATCAGCTTTGACATCACAAAACTCAACAAGACTGACCAATTTTACAGTTGTTGCTAATGGTCCTCCATTATTTTTATAAACTTCAAATCCTCCTTATAAATATCCTAAAATATTATCATATCCAATTCTTAATAATCTGAGGATTGTGTCTTATGCTTCACCTTAGTTAGCTATAATTATTAATTTAGTATCTGGTTTAATAACAGCTCCTACAAAATTGACTAATCCTGACATAAATGTAATATTGATAGCTCCATCTATAATTCCATCTGCTACATTTGGTCTTGTATCTAATATGGTTGCTCCTGATTTAGCAAAACCCATAAATTATTCAAAAGTCAATGCCTTTTAAACTTCATTTAATAAAACAGTGATATCAGCTGGTCCATTTTTATTCTAGATATTATGAGAATTATAAAATTACAAGTTTGGCATCATGGAAAAAGTATTGAGGTGGTTTTGGCATACCTTCAAGAACTTATTTAGTGAAATCTTCCTTTGACATAGGTTGCAAAGCATAATTTTTTTATTTTTAAATTCCAATAGTGCAATACTTTCCTGCTCCAATAGCTTTACCACATGATGAACCTGCACCATGTCCTGGATATACAATTACATCATCATTTAATTTCATAACCTTATTTCTTAATGAATCATAGAGATATGAAGCCAACATCTCAACTGTCAATTCTCCACTCTTCACAGCCAAATCAGGTCTGCCTACTTCACCCAAAAATAATGTATCTCCTGTATAGACTGAATGGTCTTTTCCTTTAGAAACTAAAACAAAACAACTGGATTCCATTGTATGTCCTGGAGTGTGATCAACTCTTATCTAGACTAATCCAAGTGGTAACAATTCCCCATCTTTAGCTTATTTCATAGGGAAATTTGCAACTGCAGTTGGACCATATACTATAGTAGCTCCAGTGATTGCTGCTAATTCTCTATGTCCACTCACAAAATCTGCATGAAAATGTGTCTCAAGTACCCATTTAATATTAGCATTTCTTTCTTTGGCTAATTCACTATTAATAAATATATAAGTATTACACATATTATTCAATATCTCTCAAGGGATCAATTACAGCAGCTTCTCCTTTAGATTCAATGTAATAAGAAAATGTGGACAAACATTCGATGTAGTATTGTTGTATAAAGAAGTCTGGATTGTCAACTTTCTCTCCTGGTTGATTCTCATAGATGCGTGGAGCTGCTTTCATTAAAGATTATATATTAATTGCATTTTACAAGATTCTGCTTCCAATTTTTATATCAAAAAATAATGCGCACTAAAATTTTTATATATGATGTAAAATTGTCGGTAACTAAAAAAATCATTCTAAATTCTTAAAGATATTAATTTATAATTTTTATCAAAAAGGACTCATTAATTAGTTTGATTTGACATTTACAAAGCCTGTATACTTATGAATAACAATGTATTCACATAAATACATGATTAATTTATAAGATTAATTCAGATTCTCAAATCATTTAATATAACAATTCATTACTAAATCTAATAAAAATGCTTAAGTATTAACTAGATAATAATTGAAATTTACAGAAAAGAAAACAAAAATTTAATTTCATAAAGAGATGAACTGAAATGCAAAAATAAATTGAATAATTTATAGATTATCAATAACTATTAAAAATAGTTAAAATATGTCTACAGTTTTATATTGTCATCTAACAAACAATAAAATTAATTTTTGTAACATAAATTGATTTAATCAATGTTTAGCCTTTCCAAATCCAACCATATTTGTATCTCTATCATAAATACTCAAATATTTAGTTAAGAAAATATCTCCTAAAATCCAAGCAGGTCCTTAAGGATCTGGAATATCCAATGGCATAAATGCTCCTATGCATTATTTAGAAGTTCCTTAAATAAATGCTGATGCTGAAACATCATTATTTAAAGGTATTTCTGTACCATCATCTTTTAATTCCATTATATAATCTCTTGATTCTAGATCATAATCAACTCCATCAATTCTAAATGTTAATTTAGGTAATTCATTCAAATTTGAGCAATCATCATTTATATTAG